CACACACACACACACACACACACACACACACACACACACACACACACACACGCATTTGTGTGCAGAAGCGATGTTGAGTGTCCTCTCTATTTCTCCCTCCCTTAGTCCTTTGAGTCAGCGCCCCTCACTGAACCTGAAGCTGAACTGGCAGCTGCGAAGCCACACTGACCCTGCTGTCTCTAACCCCCACACAACTAGGGTGAAAGGCAGGCACAGCCACATCCAGCTTTTTTACACGTATCCTGGGGATTTGAACTCAGGTCCTCATGCTTCCATAGCAAGTATCTTACTGAGAAACCCATCTCCCCAACTCCTGTTTATCTGTTTTTATTGTGACAAAATATACTTGACACACACTTGTTATCTTAGTCCTTATTTCTTTTGGAGATGGGGGTCTCATGTATTCCTGGCTGGCCTTGAACTTGCTAAATGGCTCTGATTGACCTTGAAGTCTTGCTCCCCCTGCCTCTTCCCCCCCAAATGCTAGAATTGGCACTGCCTGTCACCATACCCAGTATATTGGATGCCGGGGATTCAATGCAGAGCTTTAGGAATGCGAGGCAAGCACTCTACCGACTGATCTACATTCCCAGCTCTTGGTTACTTTACAGTATACAGTTCAGAGTAGTAACCGAATTCACATTGTTGCACCACCAGTCTCTGGACCACTTCTCATCTTGTATCCCATCATATTCTCCACTCCCACCTCTTCCCCCACCCCTCCAGCTTCAGCAACCTCCACTCTGTATTTATAAACCTTGCTTTCCTGAGGACCTCATGTGGGTGTAATCATATAATATTTTTCTCTGTGTTATTGGCCTATTTCACTTAGAATGTGTTTGTATATGCTTCCTGGGTGTTTATGAGCAATTTGGCCTGGGATTCTCAACAGGGAAAGACAGCACGACCCTTTGGGGAAGGAGGTAAGAGTTTGTGTTGTCATGATAAACATGGCTGTTACCAGCATTAATGGCCAGGTACCAGGGAGGCAGCACAGGCTTCAGAGTGCAGGTTGGTCCCACAGGGCAAAGGACTACCCTGCTCAGAGAGCAGTAATGAAGATGGCAGAAATTGCATGTTGGCAACCTCTTGTCTGTAAAATAAGCATTTGGGCTAGATGGATTACAATTTTCCTCCAAGCTCTAAGAGTCTTGTGTTCTATCACTTCCTTCACAATGACTTAGAAGCATTGTGTTGCTGTCCCCCCACCTCTTTAATTACAGCTCTTGTAAGCCCAAGTCATTTTCATTTAGACAACCCAGTGGAACCAGTCACAGAGATTAACCATAAACCCATATCACTCCCTGTTAAATATAACTTGTCTGCTTGGGTTAAAATTCAAAGGGCTCTTTAGTCAATCATGAGGCTGATAAATAAAGCAATCTGGAAGCAGTCAGCAAAGGCTCTCACTCTAGTAATTAAAGGCCACCATTGTGCGGTCAGATTTTAGCTAAAGTGGTTCTCTCCTTACTCTCACATCTAGCTGAGGAACTTTCTGGGTTAGCATAAGAACATGGACATTGGAGGAAATGTAGTTCTCTTGCACCCATTTTCCACTGTCTGTAAAGAGAATGCCCTGCACAGGACATGTGGGGAGTCATTAGTAGGGCTCGCAGAACCCGACAACACCGAGAATTGGTTGCACCCATGGAGGAACTGGATAAGCACACTCCTCTTGTGTGTGGCATAACCATCAAAAAGGTAAACCTGAGCCCGTTGATTCTTACATCATTGTACCTCTCTCAGGATAAAGAAGAGTTTGCATTGAAAATGTGAACTCCTGGATGAAAGGCAGTGTCCACTCATACAGTGTAATTGTGATTTTCATGGAGCTGTCCTTGACATATATACTACAGGTTCCAAAGTTAAGAAACTAAGAGCTGGGGAGATGATTCAGTCCTTGCTGCTCAAGCATGAAGGTCTGAGCTCAGACCCTCTGCACACACATAAAAAGACAGGTATGAAACTGAGGGTAAGGCCATTGTTGAAGACAACCCTTACATAGCTCATTGAACCTGGGGAGATTGAGCTGGTTCCTGACTAGAACTTTCACCCCTTGTCTTAGTCAGGGTTTCTATTGCTGTGACAAGACACCATGACCATGGCAACTCCGATAAAGGAAAACATTTGATTGTGGTGGTTCACTTACAGTTCAGAGGTTCACTCCATTATTATCATGGTGGGACATGGTGGCATGCAGGCAGACATGGTGCTGGAGAAGGAGATGAGAGTTCTACATCTTGCAGGCAACAGGAAGTGGTCTCACTGTCACACTGAGGGAAGCTTAAGCAAAAGAGATCTCAAAGCCTGCCTCCACAGTGACATACTTCCTCCAACTAGGCCACACTTTCTCCAACAAGGCCACACCTGGTAATAGTGCCACTCCCTATGGGGGCTGTTTTCTTTCAAACCACCACTTTCCATTCCCTGGCCTCCAAAGGCTTTAGCCATATCATAATGCAAAAATACATTCAGTCCAATCAAAAGTCTCATTGTCTATCACAGTCTCAACAATGTTTTAAGTTCCAAAGTTCAACATCTCTTCTGAGATCATGCAATCTCTTAACTATAATCCTCTATAAAATAAAAATTAAAAACAGACCACATGCTTCCAAAATATAATGGCACAGGATACACATTATTGTTCCAAAGCATAGGGAAGGGAACATAGTGAGGAAATACTGGACCAAAGCAAGACTGAAAACCAGCTGGGCAAACTCCAAACTCTGTATCTCCATGTCTGATGTCAAAGTACTCTTCAGATCTCCAACTCCATTCAGCTTTATTGACTGCAACACACTTCTTTCTCTTGTGCTGTTTCTACTTCTGTTAGCAGCTTTCCTCGGTAGGTACCCCATGACTCCGGCATCTTCAATATCTTAGGGTCTCCAAGGTAATCCAGGATTAATCAGCTTCACATCCTCATGCAATGGCTTCTCTAGGCCTCCATTAAGGGACAGCCCTGACACATGCCTGGCCTCAGCAGCTTTCCTTAGTCTGGGGGCAGATTCCGTAGTCCCTTTCTTCTATCCTTAACTCCAGAACCACGTGGTCAAAGCTGCCCATTTCTCCTGCTCACTGGAGCTGGAACATGATCCCCTTGTTCAATTACATCTTTACCAACTTTCTGGTTTTGATGGTTGTACCAGGCTGGCCTCAAACTCAGAGATCAACCAGCCTCTGCCTTCCAAGTGCTGGGATGAAAGGAGAGTATCACCACACTTGGTTCTAAAAAAAATTTTTTAATTCCTTTTCACAAATTGGAAACTTATCTGGGTAGGATCTTGCTCTGAGATTACCACTCCCTTTATTCCATTTCATAATTTGTTTGTCTCCTTGCTCAGTTTACTCCTTTTCATTATAAATCTTCTTTAGAGTTACCACTAACAACCACACAACAGAGTCTATACTAGGCTGTCTTGGGATTTCCTCTGCCAATGGTATTAATCCCAAACTCTTCACTTTAGCCGCAGGTAGACTTTTTGGACAAAGGTAAAAAGCAGCCACATTCTTCACCAAAAAAAATCCACAAGACTGGTCTCTAGGCTAGATACTAACATTCTTCTCCTCTGAAACCTCTTGAGCCAAGCACCCACAGTTCAAATTACACTCAGCACCACTGTCTTTCACATTCCTAATAGTATGGCCCATTAAGCAGTGCTTAAAGCATTCCACTGCTTTCCTAACCCAGACTCCCAAAGTTCATATTACTCCAAATAAAAACATGGTCAGGCCTAGCACAGCAATACCCCAGTCCCTGATACCAACTTCTGTCTTAGTTAGGGTTTCTGTGAAGAGACACCATGATCATGGCAACTCTTATAAAGGAAAACAGTTGGGATGGCTCACTTACAGTTCAGAAGCTCAGTCCATTATCATCATGGTGGGACATGATGGCATGCAGGCAGACATGGTGCTGGAGGAGTAGCTGAGAGTCCTACATCTTGCAGGCAACAGGAAATGTTCTCAGTGTCACACTGATGGAAGTTTAAGCAAAATACCTCAAAGCCTGCCCCCACAGTGACACACTTCCTCCGACAAGGCTACACCTCTTAATAGTGCCACCCCCTTTGCGGGCTACTCTCTTTCAAACCACCACACCCCTACTGACTAGTTTTTGTGGTACTGGAAGGTACTGTGCATGTCACCAGAAAAGACTAACCCAGCTACAAACCCTGTGATCTACAATCATGTCCTGCCTACATGACACACTGGTGTGGTAGTGGCACAAAAGTTGTAGAAGTAACCAACAATTATCTGATTGGATTTAAGGCCCACTCCCTAGATGGAACCAATACCTGACACTGCTTGGGTGGCCAAGAACCTAAGATTAGATAGGCTGTGGACCTGGGGGAAAACCAAATACTATTGTACTGCTAAAGGAACATAGCAATAAAATGACTCCTAATTACATTCGGCTATACCCATAGATCAGCATCTTGTTCAACCATCATCAGAGAAGTCTCCTCCTGCCATAGATAGGAACAAGTACAGAGACCCAGAAATGGACAATGTGCAGAGAGTGAGAAACTTTGAAACACTCAGTCTTAAATGGGCTATCTCTATCAAACCCTTCCCCTCAGGGCTCAGGGAGCTATGGGGAAGGGGAGGCAGAAAGAACGTAAGAGCCAGAGGGGATGGATGACACCAAGGACGCAGTGTACCAGATACACCAGGACAGGTGAACAATGAACTCACAGAGACTATGATGGCGCACACACAGGGCCTGCACAGGTTCAAGTCACACAAGGTCCTCGTGCTGAGAGGGGGAAGTAGATGTGAGTTCCTATCCCTAACCGAGAAGCCATCTCCATCTGATGACTTCTTGCAAAGGAAAATTTAGTTTTCTCCAATGGAGTCTCACTGGGTACATAAACCACATTTAAGGGTAGGCTCCATGCCCAACAGTCAATGACCCACACAAAACAAACTCAGTGGTATTTTTGGAGATGTTTTTGTTTCATGTTGCTTTGTTTGGGTACTTTAAAGGATTTTTTTATTATTGCATTTTATGTGCACGTTTTTCCTGCTTTTGTATCTGTGTACCATGTATGTGCCTGTAGAGGCCAGGAGAAGGCACCCGATCCCCTCAAACTGGAGGTATAGATGGTGTGAACTACCATGTGGTTGCTGGGAATTGAACTCGAGTCCTCTGGAAGAGCATCTGGTACTCTTAACTATTGAGCCATCTCTCCAGCATTCTGTTTGGGCATTTTTTATATTACTAATTTTTTGCTTGTATATTATGGTTTCCAATTGTGTGTTTTTGTGTGTCTGTGTGTGCATGTATATCTTGTGTTTTTTTGTTTTGGTTTGGTTTTTTGATAGGTGGGGAGGTGGCAAGGATCTGGGAAGAAAGAAGTGAGAGCATGATGAGAATATATTGCATGAAAAATATTTTTAATTAAAATAAAAGTGAAAAAAAAGACAGGTGTAGTATTGTGTACCCAGAACTGTGAGGTGAAGAGAAGAGTATTTTAGGACCTTGCTGGTCAGTAGGCTTTATCCAATTGTTGACCTTCAGTGAGAGACTTTGTCTCACGAGATAAGGTGGAAAAGACCTTCATAAGAGCAGCATCCAGCATACCTACCCATCCTCACACCACCGAACTCAAGAGTTAAAAACTCAGTCAAAGCAAATGGTCCTCTTGATCAGTACAATAGAGGAGAAAGCAACTCCTAAGGACTCCTTCACAAGATTATTATCCTGTGTAGCAATGCCAGGCAGTGCATCAGCCAGCTTCAGGATTAATGGTGTAGAGCAGTGGTTCTCAACCTTCCTAACACCGAGACACTTTAACACAGCTCCTCGTGTTGTGGTGACCCCCCAGCCATAACATTATTTTGTTGCTACTTCATAACTGTAGCTTTGCTACTCTTATGAATCTTAATGTAAACATCTGATATGCCATCCCAAAGGGGTTGCGACCCACAGGTTGCAAACTGCTGATGTAGGTGAAAAGCAGTTAATTTCCATAGTTGGCAATTGCAAACTTCCTCTGTTCACAGCTGTTAGGGGCTGGCTACTGAGCTAAGTCAACACCAGAGCCAACATGATAGACAAGACCGCAGCTCTGCCTGGGCCTTGGGCTCTACATCAATTAACAGCATAGCAACGGTGACCCTCATAGAGTCCTGATAACAGCATAAAGGTGGTCTTTCATGAAGTGATTGGAACAGTATTTCATTTAAAAAGGAGCAGTTACAAATTATAAATGCATATCTTAACATTGTATTTTACATAAAATGCACAAACACACCTGATTTGTCAGCCCCTTATTAAAATCTTTTCTTTGAATCCACTCTTTTCTGCAGGGGACTCTAGGACCACAATTCTGTATAACTGCAATCTATAATTGGTTTGTTATTGTATCTGCTTTGTGGTGTTTGTGGTGGTAGGAATCCATGCCAGGGCCCTGCACATAGCGGCATAATTGTAGCCCTTCAGTTTCTTTAGAGCACATCGAGAATTAAAGGTATATGTATGAGACAATCCTGGCCCAAAGCTCTGACTTCTTACTTACTTTTTCTAGTCTTTTCTAGTTGTCAGCTGTTTTGCCAATTTTTAAATCATTCCAAATAATCCAGTTTGGTTTTCACAAGAAGAGTAACTTTTCTGTTTTCACATCCATATTTATATTTATCCTAGTTAAATCAGTTTAAATTTCACAATTATAATAACATGTTGAGCTTGAACAAGTCTGGCAATCCACGCTGACTCTTGATAAGCTTGCTGCTCAACATGTGGGAACAGCTGTGTGGGCGGCTCAGGAGCTATCTGTTCACTCATTGGTGCCCGTGCCTTTTTCAGAGAACATGGGAGGCACCTGCTACTCTGAAGAACAGGTTAAGTGGAGGGATTTAAGTAGCTAGCTATTATGGACTGAGTGATATGGCCTCACAAAATTTATACATAGCAAGAAATCCACTGTGCTGGGTGCTGCCAGTCACTTCTGGGCTTGGTGGCACACACCTGAAATCCCAGCATACAGGAGGTAGAGGCAGAAGGGTCAGGAGATGCGGGCCAGCCTCGGCTATTGGAGATATTTTAACCAAACCAAGTACCAGCTCTGAAGTTTGAAGGTTGAGGATTTTGTGATGCAGCTTTTCCCGAACAGTATGTTCTGGGACACCGTTTCAAATAGCACACACTATAGAGTGTTAAGCTCTGTCAGTGGAGTATGTAACGGGAGACTGTTTTCCTAAGTCTGAGCATTTTCACTGAGTTTAGTACTTACCTAGTGCCAAGCGGCGTGCTTTCCTGGGGGCACCAGGAGAACCACTCATTTCTAGAACACAATTTCTCCTTTAAAATACCTGCAAAAAATACAAAATTTTTGATGAACTTCAAATATGAGTGGGGTGCAGTATGACAATTTGAAACATCCTTATCTGATGGATAGCAGCCGATCTGTTTTGAATGAGAAGTTAAGCAAACAGAAACTGCTAGAGCGTGTCCTTTACTTCTTATCTTGGAGCAGTAAGCGCTTGGTTCATCTACTGACGCTAACGATGAACGCCAGAGCGAGCTGTGTTAGTGCTATGGATCATTAACCACCTTCCTCTTGTGATCAAAAATAACACCATAAAAATGACTTTTCCATTGCTGTGACGAAATTCCCGGCAACAGCAACAAAGGCAGAGAAGACATCTTGGCTCACAGTTTGAGGTTACAGTCCACCACGGCAAGACAGCATGGCGGGAGGCGTGGGAGGCATCTGCAGTCGTGAGGCAGAGAGGTGAACACTCATGTTCCACTTTCTTCTTTTCACACCTCCCAGGCCCCACCTGTGGCTAAGGATGCCTACATGTCAAGGTGAGTCTTCCCTCTATTAAACCTCTTCAGAAAGTCCATAGCAAGTACAGCAAAAGGCTTCCCTTCTAGATAATTCTGAACCACATCCGCTTTGACAGCCATGATTAACCATCACATGCATGTTCAAATCCTCACCTTCTCTGTGGCTAGGAAATACTTACGGAATGAAACCATAAGGCTGGGGCCCCAACTCTACTAGATTAGTGTCCTTATAAGGGTCCTTATATGAGTGTCCTCCAAAGAGCCCACTCTACCTTGACTGAACATGGAAGATGCTCTCAGCAAGCCGCTGAGACAGCCTGCTGCAGAACCAGTTCTTCCAGATTTTGATGAAGGGCTTCTAGCCTCCAGAATACAGTCGTGTTGTTAAGACCACGCAGTCTAAAATTTTTGTTGTGGCTCAAAGTGACTGATACACTATGCATTTTTCCTGAATATTTAGTGCTATGCCTTTGGATCTGAGGAACACTTAACAGCAAAATTCATCTGGGTTAAAACAAGCCTAGTACTATTTCTGGAAAACTGGCTTCAAGGTAGATCCAAACCAAGTGGACTCTAAATGATAGCTCATTTCAATATTATTTCAGTAACTATTGAACATATTTACAAGTCTTGTTCTAGTAATGAATTATGAACAATTATGAGTTATTAAATCAGTTTCTGAGTTTCTCACTAAATAATAATATAATCTCAGATAGTCCTCTATAGGTTAGATAACTTCCTTCTTACATCTTTTAAAAAGAGCTTCATGGGATTATCACAACTATGGATAACCTGTGGTAGCTAGCAGAATACTTAAAAACTATTAATCTACTGAACGCTGTACCTTTTGGATTTTATCACAGGGCCAAGAGCAAAACAAAGCAAAATAATACTTATTACTGCTACATTTTATGCACAAGAGCCCTTAGCTACATCAAAGAGACCTTGGTGAAAACACATTTCATGGAATTATTTCTCAAGTTCTCCTCCCAGCTGTGGTTTCATCATGGCACTGAGCACAGTCCCCACGCATGCACAGACTTGCATCATACCTGTGTGTCATGAGCCCAGGCCACAGCAATCGAAGGGAACCGAGCTACCCCGGGCAGTCTGCTCACGACCTCCCATAAAGTCTCTCTGCCCGGTAGCTTTCCAAACAAAGTTTAGACACGTTACCAGAAAGGGGGGAGGTATTTCCTTAAGAAATTAGTTTAAATGGGGGGGGGCTCTAGTTAGGGAGGGAGGAGATAAATACAGAAGAAGGGAGGAGGGTAAAATAACAATAAGGATGCCTGGAAAAGTCATAAGGAATCACACTATTAACTATCTGCCTAAAAATACCTATAATACCTGTCAGTCACTGTATAAATATACATATGTAACTCGAATGAAAATTTCCCATCTAGACTAACAATGTTCCCCCACAAAGCAAATGACTATTAACAACCCCCCAACACTAAGAATGAGAAGCCCTCTTTTGAGCTGTTGGTCGGAGTTGTTCAAAAGACCCCCAAAACATTACAGGCTAGTGCTATTGCCCTGAGTTGCACACCCAACCCCAGAGATGGAAGATAAGTTCTGATTGCTGAAGACACCATGCACTTCAGGCATAGGGCCCAGAGGTCCCTGAGCTGAAATTGACCTGAAAGCCTCCTCCCCAAGGACTAGCTTTCATGGCACCAGAAGGCACTGTGCATACTTTCAAAGGAGGGAAGCAGCCAACAGTCCTACCCAACTATGATACCTATGGACCACAACAACCAGCATAGCATGGTAACCCTAAGGCTGTAGCACACGTCCGTGGCAGTAACCAACAGCTCTCTAATTGAACCGAAGACCTGCTCAACAAGAGGGAAACCATGCTGGGTACTGGAAACCTGGCGGACTATCCAAGGCTAGTGAAGCCATGGATCTTGGAGGAGAGAAAACCCTAAACCAGCATGGCCCCTGACTATACTCTAAACATTTGTCATTATACCCACAGATATACCACAGATAAGTGTAGTCTTCACTCCTCACCAAGGAAATTGCTCTTTGCAGCAGAGACCGTCATAGAAAACCACAACCAATCAAAATGCGGAGTTGTGGACCTACAGCTACAAAGCAACTCTTGTACCTAAGGCTCAGGGGACATTGTGGGTGAGGGGGTAGAAAGATTGAAGAGGCAGAGGATCCGGGAGTTTGCTATGAGACTGTGTCTCCTTGTAGTGCCAGGGACCACATCTACAAAGTCTCACCAGCAGGACTGTCTAAACATGACCTGACCAAGGATAACAATTGTGGTGATATTTTATTTGTGCTCTAACAAATAGAGCTCGCTTGGGGAATCTGAGGACAAAGCCAGCCGCTATATTAAACATAGAGATCAGGCAGAGGTAGCACACTCCTTTATTCCTAGCATTTGGGAGGCAGAGATTCATCTGGATCTCTGTGAATTCAAGACCACCCTGGGAACAGAGCCAGTGTTGTGGCACACTCCTTTAATCCAGCACTATCTAGCCATAGAGGTCTGGAGGTCTGTACAGACAGACAGGAAGTGATAGAGCTGGGTGGAAAGAGGAAGTGATGTAGCTGAGTGGAGAGAGGAAGTAAGATGGCAGGGCACAGAAGGGTATATAAGGCATGAGTAGACAGGAAGTAGCTCTCTTTGGCTGAGGATTTCCTTGCAGTAAGAACTTGTAGCTGGCTTGTTCTATCCCTCTGATCTTTCAGCTTTCACCCCAATATCTGGCTGGGGGTGTTATTAATAAGACCATTTATCAATTCGTGACACAAACATAGATGTGCTGAAGTGGGTGGGGGAAAGCCCACGAGGTCTCAATCCTACCCAAAGAGCTACAGGCAACTAAGGGATGCTGAGAAGGGGAGAAACAGTTTTCCCCAGGGACAAGCACACCACTTGGTTACCTAGTACAAAATGATCAGCACTGAAAACACATACATACCAGTAACATTAGACAGACTGGAGAATCATGGGTTAAATAAATCTCTGTCCATAAATTTCCAGGCTCTAGTCCTCAGTTGCAGCAACAGACATTGAACTGTCTTCCATGTTCCTTGTTCACTGCATTTGGTTTTTAAATCATGAAAAGGCATTAGATTTTGTCAAATGTCTTTTCTGCATTTATTAATATGACCATATGATTTTTCTCTTTTAGCCTATGGAGGTGATAGAATATGTTGACTGTCAAATGTTGGACCTGTCTTGCATGCTTGGACTTAATGCCACTGGGTTAGAATGAAGTACACTGATCTCTATAAATTACCTTTACAAGCATTTCAAAAATGATGTGCAGAGAAGAATGTATGAGTTTATAATAGAATAGGAAAAGTATAAATTTATATGGGCTGTAAAAATGCAGACAAATATAAAAATGAAAATGATCTGAGTTGGAGTGATTTTGTTACTGTGGGTAACATTTCTTTTTTCTTTCTCTCTCTCTTTTGTCTCCTGAACTAAGTTAAGCATTTTTAACATTGTTGAAACTTCTTTAAAATACCAATGGTAAATACCCCCCTGCATTTAAAAAAGCTCCTTGTAATCCCCTAAAAATATGTTTCTGTTTTAAACTCTATTTCTGGTTTTTAGCATAAAGGTCAAAATTCCATCCAATAAAACTGTTCTTGCTAACATCAGAAGTACTTCTCTGAATCATGCTGATTTTTTTCTTATTGACTTTTAAAAAATGTAGTTGAATACATAATTCTACCTTCCCCTCCCCAGTGTTCTAATTTTTGTGGCATACTAAGCATTATAGGGAGAATGGGGGGCATCAAACTTTGAGGTTAGAGACTGCCATTTACCACATCTGTCTATTACCACTTACATTTACTTTTTACTTATTTAATAGCAAAAAGAGAATGATTAATGATTTATTTCAAATTTTATATATGCCTCAAAATATAGCAACACAATGAACTTTAACAAATCCTAAAGTTTCAGTCTCTAAATGTGTTACAACACAGCACACATACCCAGTCACAGCAGAATCCTGTGCAGATGTGGAGGGTCAGCCAGAGAAAACATCCATTTCTTGGGATTCTTTGTAGATAAGACCAGCTCTGTCTATTGGCTCTCTACCATCTAGAAGTCTATTGTGATCTTAAAATAACAATAAGATCTCCCCATCACAAAACCAAATCAACAGTTGGTAAAGACTAAAAGTATGTTGAATATTAATTGCTATAGTTTACCTTTATATGCAGCATATATTTTTAATTACTGAGAAATATGAAATTTTGTAGAGAAAAGTTTGTTCTTTGCATGAGTATAATGAGCCCATATCTTTTTATGCTGTTAAATTATATATATTTACACACACACACACACACACACACACACACACACACACACACAGTGTTGATTTACAAACACCCAAGTGGATGATTGTTTTCTGACGTCTCTTGCTTGTGCTTCACATGCAGAGTCCAAAATAATTTCCTTTAAACATACAAAAGAAAAAGGAAATAGAAATACCTGAACTTTGGCCTATTAACTGGTGACACATCTTTCCTGGTAACCATTTAGATTTTAGAATGATTAAACAAAGCTAGAAGTTTCTGCATCTGAGTTGCTCTTTTACTGAAGCGCCCTGAAAAGTACTTTTTTAAGGAAGAAAGACTGTGTTTTCCATAATGTTCGTAATAAACAAAGCTCAAAAACGAACATCTGCATCTAGAAATCCCCAAAAGATATTATTTTGGTTTTTCAGGATTAGTTATTTTTGACATTATTGGAGAGCCTGGTATTTTAAATGAATAACCGGGAGAGATTGGAACTCAGAGGCAAAACAGCTTCAGAAAAAGGGCTTTCGGAAAGGTTCCTCATGAAAAGGGGGTAGGGGGTGGGGAGGAATAGGATGCATGTAGAGAGAGATTTAGTTCAAGAAAATGATTCATGCAAGTTAGGAGGCAGACAAGCCCCAAATCTGCAGGGTAGTTCAGCCAAGTGCTGCAGCTGAAAGGCAGTTGCTTGGCAGGATTCTTCCTTCCTTCAAGGAGATCAGAAATTTTCTCATAACTAACATAAGTTGATGGATGAGGCTCATCACATCATGAAGAACACACTTTATCCAAAGTATACTAATTTAGATGTTTATTTACTTTAAAAGTCACTTTGAGCAACTATATGGATTGTGGTGTAGGCAAGTAGATATATAAGAGTAATAATCAACAACCAGAGAAGCATTTTCTTAAGCCTAGGAAAGAGCTGAGGACCCCAGAGCAAAGTGAGAGGGGAGGAGGGGGGTGGTCAAGAGCACAGGGAAAGAGGCCGGACTTCAGGAGAAGGACTGGGCAAGATGAGATGTGGAGGAAAAGCTAAAACATTCTCTCAGTGAGACCAAGATGAGATGGGGAGGAAAAGCTAAAACATTCTCTCAGTGAGACATGGCCATTTGTTGGAGGGACCGGGCCTGATGGCGACTACAAGCATGCCATGGGGTTAAGGGTAGGGTGATGCTTGAGGATTGGCGGAAATATTAGGGAGGAACAGCATTCAGAATAAACTACAGTATTTCCAGGAATGTTGATGGTGTGTCCTCGTGACATTTCCTGCTGATGTGTTAAACACCAGGACCAAAAGCAAGTTGGTGGAGGTAAGGGTTTATTTGGCTTACAGGTTCTGGCTCATCACTGAGGCAAGTTAAGACCGGAACCTGAGGCAGGAACTGAAGCTGAGACCACGGAGAAATTCTACTTCCTGGCTTGCTTCCATGACTTGCTCAGTATGAATTTTGTTTCTTTGGTTTTTTTGTTTGTTTTGTTTTTATACAGGACCATTTCCCTAGGGGTGGCACTACCCAAGTGAACTGGACCCTCCACATCAATCATTAATCAAGAAAACATGCCCACAGACATGCTCAAGAAGCTAATATGATGAAGGGAATTCCTAAGATGTGGTTCCTTCTTCCCAGGTGACTCTGGTTTGTGTCAAGTTAACAAAAAGTAACCGGCACAGGGTGGAAAAAAGAAAAGAAATATTGAGCCTAAGTCAGTTCTCCAGCACCTCCCCCCCCCACACACACACATATAAACCTTGATCTCTAAACAGGACAGTCGGAATTATACGAGCTGAGCTGGAATCTGAATCCCATGAAGCAGCTCGCTGACCCGCTGTGTGGCCCTCAAGGGAATGTACTTAAA